ACATCTACATTTCTAACTATCGTCTACTATCTATACGTGCGGCTGATAACTAGGGTATAAGGTATCGAATAATTTTATTTTATTTATTTATATAATTTTATTTTCAATTACAGTTCGATATAGACTGTCTTTCTCTCTCTTCCCAAGTAGCATTTTTGGACACATTTTAGGTATTGTTTCTAATAATTGTGCCTGTTTCTTGACACAAAATGGAAACGGTATGCCACAAATAGGAAACATTTTCGAAAGCTGTATATTTTATATGGCTTTATTACATGTGTATTCAAGGTCGCATTAGTCATTTTCTGAAATATTTCGATGCGGAATCAAAACCTTTAGAGAAAATGTTTCGAAACATTTTCTGCAATTTGTGTCTAAGAGTTCCCGTTTTCAGCAGTCACTGTTTCTAAATGTGAAGGAACAAAATACCAAACTGAAATAGTCTATGTCTGTGCGTGGATTTCAAAATGAAATAACTATCAACAATGTCGACCTTCTGACATAAAAAAATTCTGATAAAAACAAATTCATCGTTTAGTTTAATAATGTACTTTCATACTTTTAACGTCCCCTCTATGTATCAGTATTTGTTGCTACAAAATATTTTTGTTTGAAATATAGATTTTTATTTTTATTTCTATATAATGGTTCTGAAAATAAAAATATATAAATCAATGTAAGTAGAACACGTTCTTATAAGTTCAAAAACCTCAACAGTCGATAAAAACATATATTTCTATTTAAAAATGCTATAACTAGTCAACATGGCCGAATCTTAATTCATTATTTTATAAAATTGGCATGGAGTCGGACACAAATCATCTACATTATATAATATATTTGTGTCTGAAAAAAGAGAAACTCGTGTTTCGAAAATGATTCGACAATAAATGGAAACATTGTTTCCAAAATGTTTCGATTTAGCACTATCTGTGTAGAAATTTCGAACTGGTCACCTGTCAACAACGCCAATCAAAACTTGTGTTCAAAATAATTAAAAAAAATTATTTACTTATTATAATACAACTAAAACATAAAAACATGTATTCCATTGTGGAATACAGAGAAAAAAACATTTGCTGGTAACATTTTTTTCGGTCTCCTGTTAGGTATGAGAAGTGGCTGTTATTACGTTTATTCCTAAAACAAATCATCTTTGTAATGCGTATAATAAATAATTACAAAATCCAATAAGAATAATATCTGTATTGGTACTCACCATTATATCCTTCCTTCTGTTTTTTAATTATAGTGCTATAAAAACTTGAAAAATGCTTAAATCCAAAAACTGCAGAATAAAATCAAACAATAAAGTAAGATTATGTTCTCATATAAGTATAACAGAATATCAAACAAATTATAGAATCTTTTCAGGCACAAAACGGGTACGAAATCTCTAAATGTGGAGCAATATCTGTTTCTTAAAAGTTTCGAAACATTTGTGACACTAAGATCTTTATTATTATAGCTTATTTAGCGAAACCATATTTTATGACTAAGATTTTCTTAAAAATGTGATGAAACTGTTTCGCAATGTTTCTTAGCAGAGATTTTGTTTCGATTGTGTGTCTAAAAATGCTACTTGGGTTAGCTACCCAGTGATCTACAAAGGCATGCGCCCTACCATTTATAAACCCATTTTTATCACTTGACATATGCCATGTTCTCTAAATAGTTCCAGCTACCGTACACGAATCTCGGCTGAGCCTAAACGATTTCATATCGCAGGATAAACGACCTTTATCTTAAAAGAACCGAGCGACGCTAAATATGGAGAACCTCCGTCGTCGGCGAACTCCTTTCCGAAACGACAGTGCGGCATTTTACAAGAAAAAATGTTAATTTCCTTAACTTTGGGCTACCGATTTTGGAGCCCTCGAGGCCCGGCTACTTTAAAAGTCGTGTTTCTTTTAGTGTGGAAAGATTACGGCTCGAGATAAGAGAGCGAAATTTAAATTTATTTCGGTAGCCGGCACGGTATCAGGTGGACGCGGTTTTTCTTTATTTTTTCCTTTCTCTGGGCGGTGCCCCTTTCAGGAGTAACATTTTTCAGGGGCGTACTTTGTTATTACTTTGCAGAAAGCAGAAAAAAATCGTGGGTTTTTAGCAGGGGTGGATGGGGAAGTGGAAACCGGCCCGGGAAAAACACGCAACCGGCCCAAATCCACAAAAAACAAAATGACCATAACGAAGAAACATATTTTATTTATTAATATACAGGTAAGAGTGTTTTTGCTCGTACGAAAAAGATCTTTTACGTCGGTTTTAAAAAAAATAAATTGTTTTGATCAACATTTTCGTAAAGACCAATACTGGGTCGGACATCTGAATTTTTACTACAAAATGGTTCAATTTTACAGGGTTCTACTGCTTTATTTCCATTATCGATAACGGTAATTTGATCTTGAATAGGCTACGATTTTGAGAAACTTTAAGACTTCCTGATTTATTCAGTTCAGCTGACCCAGTCCTCTGTGAAATAAATTACTTTTAGCTTTTCGGGTGTATACTTTCTTACACATTGTAGAAATAAATTCTCTCTTTTCTGCTACAGCAGTAGCCTCCTCGTGTACACGTGTTTTTAACAGAATGAACCGCGGTCGCCATTAAAACTGCAGCATTTCTTAGGTTATTATATAGTTCTTGTCACGAAACTTTTCCTCTATACTTTTCCACATTTAGCATCTTGTATGATAATATCTGATAATATGATAAGACTCAAACGAAAAAAACCTAGGCAATACCTATAGGCAGTGGATATAAATGTGTTCTGGTGTAATGCTCTGTTACAGTCCATAATAAGAATATTTGAATTTTCGAGACATATTAATATTTTATTATCTAATCTAGTTTAAACCTTATTTAACTTTTCTCTGCTGTCTCAGTAATTTTTAGCAAATTCATTTTAGCAACATTTTAAACAACAATTTAGACTTGGCTTTTAGTTCTCAGACTTGGCTTTTAGTCCGTCCCCAATTCAAGCCAAGCGTAGATATGTTTTCTCCGTCAACCGCAGAGTTCGCGTCAAATTCGTCTACCTTTTTACAAAGGGGAGCTTGAAAAATATTGCACCGAAGCCCCCAGTTGTCAATCTACGCTATCGTATTCTTAGTATACATTTAGATCGAAACTATTTAAATTTACCTAATGCTATTCATCCTTGTTTTTGCTGCCGTCAGTCATATTTATTAGTTATTAATAAAAGAATATTGGGTAAAACTATACAGGGTGAGTCTTAAATAAGTGCAAATATTTTCAGGGGTGGTATATTTCGACCCCAGGAACACGTCTGAAATATGTTTTGCGAAAAAAGATGTTAAAAATCGAGCATTTTCTTTTAAATTTTCCTGTATATTTTAGAAAATATTTTAGAACTTCTTGTTTACCGCAAATTTTCCCACGGTATAGTTTCTTAATGTGTGATATTACGGTACTAAAAGAGATGCAAATACCGAAAAATTGAGTTGGCTCAAATTTTTTTAAAAATAAATCTATTTTTTTTTAATTTCCAAACTTTAATAACTCGATTGGACTTATTTGAAACTCGATAAAGGGAATATATTATGTTTATTTTATTGAGATCTACCAGTCCTGAAAATATTTGCACTTATAGACTCACCTTGTATAATAAAAATTTTCAAACCGAACAAACAACAGATGATTATTAAAATTACAAGTGTCCCAGAGAAAGACATTTTACAATAGTTATTTTACAAATCGGTGTTTATGGTTAACAGCAACTGACGATTATACTGATGCAAATTGATTAGTTAGTTAGGCAGTCACTAAGGATCTTACGTAACTTTAGTTAGAAGATGAACCGTTTAATTTTTGCTAATCCAATCTTTATTGAGCTCTGATCGGGACCGGCCCACCGGCCTATCTTTTCACCGGCCCACCGGGAATTTTGCCGTTTTCCCGTATGGCCCATCCACCCCTGGTTTTTTCTGCGTACTATTTATTGGGAACTAACAACAATGGTAATGGAATACAACATGTTTTTTTTGCAGAAAGGTGTTTTTTTTGCAATGCGTGATTTAATACTTTGATCATGTCAATTTAAGTCCAAATACATTATTTTTGTCTATAAAATGTCCGTCAATCTATATAATCTTTACATCTAATTGTAAACATTGGCGTAACTACAGGGGTGCCTGGGGGTGCCCTAACCCAGGTACTGCTGGACACCCCCCAGAGAAATCCTGAATTATGACTCTTGGTAGCGTATTAATTTTTATTTGCTTGTGATGCAGTAAAAATTACGTTTTCTAGTTTTGTTTAGTTAATATTATTTTGTTGTGTTCAAAAAATTTGTTAATTTTTATTTTTTTAGAAAATTTGTAGGTATTTAAGTCTACGAGAACACGGTTTGATAACCAAGTCTATGAAATTTATTGATAGAGAAATTTATGAAACGTTTTATTCAAAAGATATGTTTTTTTTAAATTATTTTTCATTTTTAAAAAACAAAAGCACCGCAGGCCCACCTTGTTCTAAAATTGTTAATCCCGTTGATACTTTTCCAAATTTCCATACCGATTTAGAGGAAACTTAAAAAAAAGAAAATATTGTTGATTAATTTCTAACTCCTATAAATCAAAAGGCTTTTAAAGGTGATCAATGTTCGATACTAATTTTGTCTCACCCTTTATAATCTTTTGGGTCAAGTTTTAATTTGATTTAAAGTACAATAGTTATTTTAACTGCATATTAGGTTATATCGGGAAAATTCCAGTTTAGGTTAGATTAGTTAACGTTAAATTTAAAAATGATTCTTCATTTTTTAAAAATGTTAAATACGAGTATATTAAAAACCTTGCATTTTAGTCCTATATTTAGATATATATATATAAGCAAGTTATATTAGAATACGGAAATCAATTAATATATAGGGTGTTAAATTACAACCGCAGGCCCCCCCAGGCCCACCCCAGGATAAATTGCTAGTTACGCTAATGATTGTAGATAATAAGGTAAAAATTACGCAAATAAAACATTCATAAACTTATCAACTTTATTTTTTAAATTATTTTTCAGTATTTTTCTTTATAACTTTCTTTCGTTCCCATATATTCAAAACAAAGCGTAATTCTTGCATCAGAGCTCGATTGAAGCCCATCTGAAACAGAATAAAATAAAATTTATTACATTCAAATGCATTTTTTTTTTATACAAGTATTTGCTTTATAATACACCGGGTGCATCTCAAAAATGGCTCACTTCTATAACTTTTCTTATATTTTCCATATAAAAAACGAGATTTGGTACTTTATATTCGATAGAAAATGACACTGAATAAAATGACATATCGTGTGTTAACTTTTGACATTTTCTCATACGGTTTATTTGAAATTATAGCATGCGGTTCATAACGACAATTTGACTGGAAATACCAAGTGTGTGTATACCAAATTATTCGCAAAAAAATGTCTTTTCCAAATATGCTAACGAACCACGCTCGTTCCATTTGAAAAAATTGAGATATGATTAAAAATTCGATTTGGGCATCTTTTAACCGATCAGGAGAGAACACGAAAGCAGGGTTCGGAAGTAGTTAATAAAGACGTAATTTACCTGGTTAACTACGTCTAGTTTTTCTTTAAAAACTACGACTTTTCCCGTTCATTAACTACATGTAAACTATGTTAATAAACTACGTATTGATATTTTATTATGAATAGTTTTCCTTTGTATGAGGGGTCTAAACTCGGGTCTAAATAATATGATGTTAATATTATATTTAAAGTCATATTTCTTCTGTTTTCTTAATTACATCAGGGCAGGCGGAAGGGCCCACGCCAGCAACTAAAATATTAAAAAAAATTGTTCGTGGTATTTTACTTATAACTGAAAAGCTATCAACTTTTTGTAATTAACCCTTCTTTCTATAATTCTTGTTTTTATAAATTTTCTCTAAACAAACAGTTTTGGGTCAAGAGCCAGCAAAATTGACAGTTTTAGACTGACCGTTCAAAATTGCACTTTGTCTACTCTTCATACCCTTTATTTGTTATTAATGGCTGATCTGTCCTAAAATTATATGAGATAAATATTCATTCGCAAGAAGCTAATAAAAGCTTATAAGTTTGCCTCATTAATTTATTAACAGTAGTGGGAAAAATATCAATTTTTTGGTAAATGGAAGCAGAATCGGAGAAATTTCTCATTAGAGCCAGACAAAGGAATGCATCTCAAATACTGGCTGATCCTCATTTTGAAGCCGACAAAACTGTATCTGATCATAAACTGATTCTGCACGAAATAATTGATTGTGAAAAAGGAAAGAAAATTTTCTTAAATTCTTATAGAAAAATAATGCAATTGCTTGCAACTAAATACCAATGTTTTCAAAGATCACTTATACTTATCATTTATATACCGGGTGCGTCTCAAAACTGGCTCACTCCTATAACTTGTTTATTTTTTCAGATGAAAAAACGAGATTTAGTATGTTAGAATACAACATAAATTAGGATTAATTGACGTATTCAATTGTTATTGGTCACTTCCTGTTTCACCGGAAATTACTAAAACTTTTGATTTTTAAATGGCAACCTCGGTATATTTCTACTGTATGCGATAGAAAATGACACTCTAAATAGAATGTCATATCATATGTCAACTTTTGACATTTTCGCATATGGTTTATTTGAAATTGTAACATACCATAACGCAATTTGACTAGAAATATCAAGTGTGTGTTAGTTTAAAATTATTCGTAAAAATGCTTTTTCCAAATATTCCTAGCCACCCTTGTTCTATTTGAAAAAAATGACATGATTAAAAATACGATTACATTAGACGATCAAATATATTTTTCCAAGGCTCCTTGTTTAAAAATTAGAGTTTTTAACACACACTTTTTTTAGCAAAAATGTCAAAAGTTGACATACGATATGTCATTCTACTCAGTGTCACTTTCTACCGAATAAACTAGAAATATACCGACGCGACGGTGCCATTTAAAAATCAATCGTTTTTTGTTGAAATAGGAAGTGACCAAAAACAATTGAATTCGTCAATCAATCTTAATTTATGTCATATACTAACATACCAAATTTCGTTTTTTATCTAAAAAAACATAAAAAAGTTTTAGGGGTGAATCACTTTTAACATGCACCCGGTATAGAAAAAACAACAACCGCGGACTAAGATTGAAGGAAGAGAAGAATTTTGAAGTACCTGTAAGTGAAACTATATTATTAAAGTAGCATAAATATGCTTAGTTATTATGTTAACTATTAGGGAGGCGGGGCGCCAGGCAGGGTATTCGCCCGGTTTCAATATTTCCCTTCCGCCGGCCCTGAATTACATTATGTGTTTTCTAAAGCTTCAACTTATTAACCTCATCTCAAACCTTTGATATTTGAAAGTTACATACATAGGTTACATAAACTACACCCACTACATAAACTACATTAACTACATGTAATGTAGTTTATGTAGTTTTTAAAAGTAACATGTAGTTTTCCGCATGGCCTATTTTTCATCTGGTCGGGCCCTAAGGCCTAAGCAAAAATTCGGGCCCTCTTATCGAATAAAATTCAAAAATTCTCTTGTTAGTTCGAGTTAAAAAAATAAAATAATTATTTTTATTTTTTTATTAATTTTAAAAAATGCATTAATTATATCAATCTAAAGCTTATTTTATTTAATTCTATTTTCCTTATCAAAGGTAACTGTTTTTTTTTTCTCTGCTATGTTAATTTGAACTCTGCATGAAAAACATTGGACATGCATTGGACGATCAAATCTATTTTTCCAAGGCTTATTGATTAAAAATAAAAAAAAGTAAAAAATACCTAGGGTGCCATTAAAAAATCAAAAGTTTCATTCAAGTAGTCATTTCCGGAGAAACAGGAAGTGACTAAAAACAATTGAATACGTCATTCAATCCTAATTTATGTCATATTATAGCAACATACCAAATCTTTTTTTTTATCTGAAAAATAAAAGTTATAGGGATGAGCCACTTTTGAGACGCACTCGCTATGGTTTAATAATTAGACCATGGAGATTAGGAACTAATGCAGAGTAAAAATAAACAACGTTTTAGTATTGACAACGTTTTTAGTATTTATTGGATTTTTAGTCATATGTAATACCGGTACAACCCAACAAGTGTTTATTTTTTAGATTTCTGATGCTTAATTGTATTGCATAAGACCATCGAGTTCATGGGCGCCGGAAGAATGAAATTTAGGGGGGGGGGCAAGGTAAAAATGAATAAAAAAGTGACATTTTTGGTAATTATTGGGAAAATTGGAAATCGTCCGATTTTCACCAAAATTGGTATACACCCTATTTTGAAGTCGTAGATTACGAATCTCAACTTTTTTCTTGGCGGTCTAATACCGTTTTTCAGAAAAAAATGGAAAATAATTTCAATATCGAAGTTTTCTTAGTTTCTCATATTTTTAATGTTTTCTAGCACATATTTTGTTAGGTATTCAATAATCAATAATGTTTTTGCTATTTTCTGTTACTTTGTTAACCAATTCTATGCATAATAGAGGAAAATTTGCTAAAATAAATTTGTAAACAATCTGAAAATGTTAGGTTATAGCTTTGTTCGGGTTCTTGTTATTACCGATTCTGAACCGTCCAAGAACTCTGCAGTGCATGCGCAAATAAAATAATGTTTTCATATTTCCTTCTGCGCATACGCATCACAGTTCTAGGACGGTTCAGAATCGGTAATAAGAGAAACCCGAAGTAAGTTTATGTGTTTCTGGCATTTAAACCAACGTTGCCAATGCTAAACCTAAATTTAGCATGTTTTTTTTTGCTCATTCTGCAATTACGAAAGGCGGTCGCCATAAGAACGGCTCCTTCCCATAACTGCTATTTTACCAACGAGATCTGACTATTTATACCCACGAAGTTGCACGAAAGAGTTTTGATTGCATTGGTTACAACTTCCATGCAGAGGGTGTTAATCTTTTGTTGTTATATTATTAGATTAACTAAAAAAGATTAACCCCTCCACAAAAAGTTAAAACCAATGCAATCAAAACTCTTCCGCGTAATTTTGTGGATATAGGTGTATATTTAATTATTGTCGATCTCATAATAGGTAATTTATTTAAAATCCCTAATCACCCGAAAAAATAGAAGATATTGCAACATTGTAAATTTTCAAATTTCTAGATTAGGTCTAGAATATATTTGTCTCTATTATTACATAGGAGAGAGAAAGAAGGATATATCAAATGTCAAACTTCCATCTGGTCTCAATTTTCTTTGCTATTTTGTTAAGAAAAGTGTTTTTCAGTAAAATGTTGGACACTTTTCTATCCCCAATCAAGTGTGGCTTTCAGATAAACTATAATATAATGAAAATATAGTGAAATTATTACTTTATAGGGCCGAAATAAAGAAAAATTCAATGTTGAAATAATTTTCCGTTTTTCTGAAAAACGGTAAGAGATCGCCAAGAAAAAAGTAGATTCGTAATCTACGACCTCAAAATAGTGTGTATACCAATTTTGGTGAAAATCGGACGACTTCCAGTTTTCCCAATAATTACCACATTTTTTATTATTTTACAGGTAACACCTAACAATTTCAAAATAATGATTATTTTTTTACAGATGGATGTAAGAAGATAGCTTTTATTTTTATTGTTTCAGTGATCCAGGAGGGGGGGCAAATGCCCCCTCTTGCCCCCCCTGTCCGGCGCCCATGATTGAGTTGTATTATTCCTTACGGATTTATTGGTATAAATTTTAACATGATATAGGCATCGTTGTTCGTGTTAACTATATTAATGTATAATATGTCTGTTTGGAACTTACGTGTTCTCTTATTGCCACTTTCTTCACCATCCATATAAACTCACACGTAGCAAAAGTCAAGGCTATAACAACCCCAACAGCTAAAACTACGAACACTCCACCTACATGGTCAAGTCCCAACTCTGCTGCAGCATTGTCATCTGCATGTTCTTCCTCCTGCAACAAAATATTTAGATTACATAGACATGATAGGACATATCTATTTCTTCTAGTTTATGTATTTTCTGTAGTTCGGAATATATGTATTCATTCAGAATATATGAACAAATAATATTTTCATGACCCTTAATCAATTTAATTTCAATTTGGATACTTTAAAACTTAGAACTCTATTATTTAGTACCTACGTAATTCTATATATTTTTAAGATATGACTGTTGTAGTTACTCTTCTTGTAAGATTCCAATTAAGAACATGTAATTTTTTAAATTTTTAGTGGTATAAAAACTTACCTTACATACTCCACCACCGTTCATTTCTGTCCACCATTTTGTTTTCAGTCTACTAAGAATTCCCATTTCTTGCATTTTTAATATGGCCTCGTTGAAAGCTTTCCTGTATTGGAAATCTGTAAAGAAAAGTAGATTAGTTAAACAAGAATTTTGAAAATAGTTTAAAAAATACTTGTTAGAACAGTTATTTGTTCAAGTGAAAGATAGACTTTTCTTTTCAAAATAGAAAAATATTATATATTGCAATAATGTTATATATTGCATTGTAATGGATCGATTTTGATGATTTTTTAAGGAGTTTGTAGCTAAATATCTTGACTTTTTAGTTCCTCTTTCTAAATTAAAAATTAAAGTTCTCATCTGTCAATTATATCAGGGAAAACAAAATATTAACATTTTGGCGAAAGTTTGAAACACCCTGGAATATGTTAAAAAACAAGAAATTTAAAAATAATTTTCTCATCTCGGTGCATTACCGACAGTTTGGTTTTTGGTCCATAGCTTTATTTTTTTTTGAATATTATATTCGTTTTTGAACAAGACACTAATATTTTTTCTTATTTTTTACAATAAAACAATGTCTTTGTTTTCGGTCCTAGTTAGCAGACCTATTAAATAGTATTTATGATATATGTAATGTCACTCTGTCATTGAAAAATTATATTATTTTTGTCTGATGGGCATTTAGTCAAGCAGAGATGGTTTTAAGTCCAGTAGTTGATTTCTACCAAGTTCAATTAATACAACAGTAGTGGATATAACTTTAATGCAACAGTAGTGGACTTAAAACCATCTCTGGGGGGCTTGAGTAACTCATAGCAATAATTATAAAACTTTTCAATTGCAGTGACACTAGAAAAACAATAAACTCTATTTCATAGGTGTGTTGATGAGGACGAAAAGCAAAGCCAAGCTTTTAATGATAAAAATGCTGTAAATCGTTACTGTCTTCTTCAAAAGCGAATATCTTTAATAAAAAATAAAGATATTGAGATAAACCATAAAACAAACTATTCAGAAACGACGTACCTAGATGATAAAATTATTTCTAAATTCCTTGGTTTGTTAACTTATTTCAGAGGATGTTTCAAACTTTCACCAAGATATCAACATTTTGTTTGAGATGGAAACCTTTATTTTTAATTTAGAAAGAAATACTAAAAGGTCCAATGTTTTAGCTACAAATTGTTTAAAACATCATCAAAATTGGCCCACTAGAACAAAAGTTATTAAACTTTAAATTACATAGAAATTTTAAGGTGCCGGTTTTTCGTGCCGGGGAGTTTATCATATGTTAATTTTCGTAGATGCAAAAAATAGTTTTAACTTACTCGCTGTCATAGCTATTCCATACCCCTTCGAATCGATCATACCGCCCACCTGTATGAGATCGCAGTTTCTTTCTGTTTCGTACTCTATCGATGAACTTTCCATCAGAAAGGCGTATTTTCTTTTACTATTTAATACCCTCTTCACGCCATCTGTATTACTAGACTCGAAAACCGTCGGATCTGCCGATTCCATCTGCACCCACATTTGATGATACGTGGAGAAATTGGTGTCTTGGAAAAACGATGAAGTGGATCCACCTATAAAGAAATATGTAGTGCTTTCTACTGTTATTATATAAATAATAAATATATTTTAATAAGAATTTTTGTTTTGCTTTTATAAGTACAGGTGGGTCAAATTCGACGCTTTTTTAAATGGAAACACCCTTTTTCTATAGGAGATAGACAAAAACTAATATCGGTGTCTGGAGCTCAATTTTTGTCAAAAACATGATGGTGAAAACCGCATTCGATATCTGTTACCGTTTCCGAGTTACGGGTTGTTTTTCAAAAATATGCATTTTTAACAAATCGCTGTAACTTTTTTGCTATGGAAAATTTTGTATTTTTATGAAAACATTTCCAAAGCATCTTTTTATGTAGAATCTAATGGTTTAAGTATAATTTTTTTAAAATTAATAATTTAAGAATTACCAAACAGAAAATTTGATTTTTTATATGGGACACCCTGTATGTTTTTAATTTATTGAAAGGAATTTAAAATTACCTTTCCAAAAATATAACACACTAGATATTTTGCTTGATTCCTATTCGAGATACAGAGTATATAAAAATTCGCCGGCTTTTAATAAGTAGGCTTTGAACGGCACCGGCTGTAATGCAAAAAAATTCTGTGAGCATCAATTAAAACGAAAATAGTATTTGCTATGAGAGATGCAGAATTTTATAACAATTTAAAATATATTTAACCAACATCAACACATTTAAAATATATCTAATAACAATAAAAATAAATAGCAAACCAAGACATGAGATTTTGCTACAGTTGTTCGATATATCGACCGTCTTTTGTTATGGACAGACGGGGCAGTTTTTGAACATTTCTCGCGGAATTCATTAACTCAGTGGAGGTGAAAGGTATCCTCTCATAACTGCTAGTATTTCTAATTCTTGTCTAGAATATACAGAAGATTAAGGACTCTCTATTCTGCCACAAATATATCCATAGGATTAGATCCACGGGCACTAAGTCAGGCGGCCTCAACGGCCAACGGCTGGGATCTTGGTTAGCTATTCAATTATTCTTGAAATTGGCTGCAAAAATTTGCTGATAACTTCAGCGTTTTGAGGCGGTGCGTCGTCTTGCTGGAAAAATATGTTTTCGAGTCCCATTAAGCGCATATCATCAATAAGGGGTCCAAAGCCTACTAGTTAAAAGTGGCGAACTTTTAAAAATTCTGTATTTCGAAGGGGATTATAACAAAATATCAAGTGTGCTAAATTTTTGGAAAGGTAATTTTAAATTCTTTTCAGTTAATTAAAAATATACAGGGTTTCCCAAATAAAAAATCAATTTTTCTGTTGATAACTCTTAAATTGTTAATTTTAAAAAAATTATACTTAAACCATTAAATTCTACGTAAAAAGGTGCTTTGGAAATGTTTTCATAGAAATACAAAATTTTCCGTAGCAAAAAAGTTACAGCCATTTGTTAAAAATGCACATTTTTGAAAAACACCCCGTAACTCCGAAACGGTAACAGATATTGATGTGCGGTTTTCACCATCATGTTTTTGATGAAAATTGAGCTCCAGACACCGATATTAGTTTTCGTCTATCTCCTATAAAAAAGGGTGTTTCCATTTAAAAGCGTCGAATTTCACCCACCATTTACATATTTTGAATGAATTGAATAATTGAATGTTCTTGGGTATTGACTCTTCATTTAAAAATATGCACATTTTTCTATTTAAATCATTTAGCTTTATACCTAGATAATAGTAGAGAAATATCTCACCTGCTACACATCCATATTTAATTTTAGTTTGAGTAGCTAAATCTTCAGCTTTCTCGATTGTTAAACCCATACGGGACATAGTGAGAAAAGCAGCCATATTGGCAGTGTAGGACGTAGTCATTATCAGTGAAAAGAACCACCAAGCTGCTGTTGCCATCCTAGTAGATACGCCTCTAGAATTATAACATATGTCTATATCAATACAGTAATTATTATAAAATATCCATGACTTACTAATAACAAACTTTAATTAAACTACTAAGATTTTTTGCTATCAATATTTTAATAATTTTTAATATATGAGAAAGTCGCTTTTACCAGTTAAATCGTACCTCTTCAATATCCCGTTTAAAAATGCATTAGCGAGACACTTTGTAGTATATTTAGTAAACTCAATAAGACGTCCAGTTATACCTAAGATCTTTTTCATGTACCAGGAGTACTTGAAGAAATAATACATATCAAAATATTATTTGTGACTGTGCTCTAATATTTCAAGGACTTATATGATGCTTTCGAAATGTGGGCCTACAGAAGAATGCTGCGAATTTCATACACAGAACATCGGACCAGCACAGCGCAGCGCCAGCGCCAGCGTATCAATTCTAAGGCAGTTGAAAGTTAACACAAGACTTTCAACCAAAATAAACCAGTCATACCTTAGGTACTTCGGGCACATTTCGAGAAGAACAGAGGGACTGGAATAAAATATAATCGAAGGGAAGATTAATGGCAAACGACCAAGAGGAAGATCTCCGACGCGCTGGGTGGACCAAACCAAAAAAAAATATTGGTCACGGCCTGCAAGAGGCTTCTATAGCCGCTCAAGATAGAGAGGGATATAGAACATCGATCCGAGCAATTGAGACATGATGTCACCATACTCTTTCGAGAGTTAACGGACGAGAAAAAGAAGAAGATGGTAAGTGATTTTGTATGGTTTGAGTGAATGTAATTGAAGATTTCTATCCTTTCACAAAAAAGAGCATATTTTTTTAGATTCCCCATAGTAAAACATTGCCTTACTTCTAAATAGCCCGGTTAATAATTTATTTTTTCATTTTCAATAATGTTACAGTACTTCTGTATACTGTAGGGGTGCTCGACTGGACTGACAGTAGTAGATGTAAAAAGAGAAAAAATAATGGTTTCGAAAAACTAAGTTTGTGATTTATTAATAAGCGAAAGTATATTTTTAAATTGAAGTAATTTTATTATAATTTTAAAGCTTGCTGCGTATGTATGCTGAATACCTACTTGAATTGTATACCTTAATTTTAATAGAATTTAATATAACTAAATGAATTGAGGAAAAAGAACTACTAAAAGGCATTAAATCAAAGGAATAAAAACTAGAAAATAATAAATAATATTTTAGTGTAACTATGTATAACAGTATTATTTTATTTGAAATAATTTATAATCTTACTTTGGCAAGAGATCGCATCCTTGGGCCATTATGGAGCCCAACGTCAACCAGCAGCAGTTTCTTATGGTCCAAATATTTTCCAATTCTTCTGGATTCGGGTCACAAGGATGCGGATTTTCCCAGTCGTTCGGATTTAACCTATTGAAACATAGAGACGGTTTTTAAATGCTGATTTATTTTAGCAAAATAATACTTATTTTTTTACAAAAAAGTCACCCGAGATTGAAATGTTTCGTGTTAAAACATCATAATAACACTAGTTTATCACAATACAACTAAACATTTTGTTTTGAACTTTGGAGCAGAGGATTTAAATTCGATCCCAAATATCAGTTCTACTGCCAATAATGATTGGTTAGCCAAACATGCGTCCACAGTTTGAAAGAAAATTATATGAAGTAAACTGGTAATTTTTGCTGTCTTTAATTTAAGTATAAAAATTAAGGTTGACATATTTATTTTCTTTTTCAGGAGCATTCCGCATTTTACACGCTTCTTAATCTAGAAATATTTAGAATCCGGTAAGTACATCCTTTGGAAATATTTGGACGTTACGGCTTAATTTATCAAGACTTAGATCACGCTATAATTGCACAATAGAAAACGAGGAAGACCATAGTAATAATATAATATACCTATAATAATAAACTCATTAAAAAAAAACTTATAATTCGAATTTTTTTATACAAGAAAAGTATCTTGCAATTTCTTACTTAAATCTACCAGTGTTGTAGTAAGGTAAATCGAAGTAATTAATTGATAATTAAATTTAAAACAAATTATTTTTTCCGTATATCACAACTACTTATTTAAGACTCTCTGTACAGGGTGGGTCAAATTCGACGCTTTTAAATGGAAACACCCTTTTCTATTGGAGATAGACGAAAACTAATATCAGTGTCTGGAGCTCAATTTTCATCAAAAACATGATGGTGAAAACCGCACATCAATGTCTGTTACCGTTTCGGAGTTACGGGGTGTTTTTCAAAAATGTGCATTTTTAACAAATCGTTGTAACTTTTTTGCTATGGAAAATTTTGTATTTCTATGAAAACATTTCCAAAGCACCTTTTGACGTAGAATTTAATGGTTTAAGTATAATTTTTTTAAAATTAATAATTTAAGAGTTATCAACAGAAAAATTGATTTTTTATTTGGGACACCATCTATATTTTTAATTAACTAAAAAGAATTTAAAATTACCTTTTTAAAAATACAGCACACTTGATATTGTGTTATAACCCCCTTCGAAATACAGAATTTTTAAAAGTTCGCCACTTTTAACTAGTAGGCTTTGGACCCCTTATTGATGATATGCCCTTAATGGAACTCGAAAACATATTTTTCCAGCAAGAGGACGCACCGCCTCTGAACGCTGAAGTTATCAGCAAATTTTTGCAGCCAATTTCAAGTATAATTGTATGGCTAACCAAGATCCCAGCCGTTGGCCGTCGACGCCGCCTGACTTAGTGCCCAAGGATCTAAACCTATGCATATATTTGCGGAAGAATAAAAGTTCTTTATTCTTCCGTATCATCTAGACAAGAATTAGAAATACTTAGCAGTTATGACAGGATATCTTTCACCCCCACTGAGTTAATGAATTCCGCGAGACAGGGCCTATTCTACCATAAGGCCCGGGCCTTGGGCCCGGTGGTCTGTGGGACCCGTTAAGGGTTGCAAAATATTCATAATTTCTTGAATTTTTGAATTTTATTGGAAAAGAGGGCCCGAATTTTTGCTTGGGCCTTAGGGCCCGACCAGATGAAAAATAGACCCTGCCGCGAGAAATGTTCAAAGACGGTCCCTTCTCGTCTGTCCATAACAGAAGACGGTCGATATGTCGAACACCTGTAGCAAAATCTCATGTTTTGGTTTGCTATTTATTTTTATTGTTATTAGATATATACGGGAGCTATTATTATTTCAATTATTTAATTCGTTTTCTCGGAACAGGTCCGGTGCGGTTTAGCTGACTAACTGAAAAAGCTTTTGGCTCCTCCCAGCTAGTTCAAGAATTTTCGGACGATGTGACAAGTCTGCAACAATACAGCTCGTTGTCCTACTTTTGCAATTGAGCATGGTAAATTAATCTCTTTTAGATTTTTTTTGGAATTCTATGCTAATAATTCCCTCCACCGAAATTACGAACGGTAAGATCTTTAGGGTATCAAGATTCCACACGTTTTTTAAATCATATGATAAATTTTCGTATTTTGTTATTTTATCTTTTGTTTCCGTCTGTTTTATCCTGCGGGATAATGGTACTGCTATGTCAATTATAATGCCCGTTTTATTGATCTTATCGATAAAAATGTCGGGTCTATTGTGGTCCACTGTTCGATCGGTTATAATTGCTCTGTCCCAATATAAAACAGCATCCCTAGATTCCAGGACGGGTTGCGGGGAGTACTTGTAGTAGGGAGGTGATGTTTTGCTCAAGAGTTCTGATTTTATGGCAAGTTGTTGATGAATAATTTTGGCAAGTTGATTATGACGTCCAAGATACGCATTATCTGCTAAGGTAGAGCAACCAGACGTGATATGTTCTATTGTCTCCCCTCTCATAGAGCATTTTCTACATACATCAACTACGTCTTGTTTTAAAATGTTCTTTTCATAGTTTCTGGTCCTCATAACTCCGTCCTGGATGGCCATCATGAAACCCTCGGTCTCAGGAAACAATTTTCCGTCTCGAAGCCAGGCCAATGACGAATGTAGGTCGACCCCCTCAGACTGGAGCGACTTTGGATACCTGCCATGCAGAGCGCCGTTTTTCCATCCTGCAACACGCTCCTCTATCGAGATGGGTTTGTCAATCCGGTTACGGCAACTTAAATTGAGAGGAGTGTAACCTTTATCCTGAGCCACGATTAGCCTCATTATTGCACAGCTGGAGGACATAAATCGCTGCCTCATGCCATTTTCCTGCTTTAGGCATAGATCTTTTATGTTTAGCAGGCCTCTCCCACCCATCCTACGAGGAACATACAGCCTACATACAGATGAGTTTGTATGCAGATTTCTAAATTTTGTTAATTGTCTACGGGTAAGGCGATCGAGATCTTCAAGGTCGGTATTTGACCACTTGACCACTCCAAAGGAATAAGTTATTATTATTATTATTATTATTATTATTAGATATATGTAGTTTAAATGTGTTGATGTTGTTAAATATATTTTAAATTGTTATAAAATTCTGCATCTCTCCTAGCAAATATTATTTTCGTTTTAATTGATGCAGCTAGAATCACAGCTAGAATTTTTACCTAGCCGGTGCCGTTCAAAGCCCACTTATTTAAAGCGAATTTTTATATACTCTCTATCCCGAAGAGGAATCGAGCAAAATATCAAGTGTGTTATATTTTTGGAAAGGTAATTTTAAATTATTTTCAATAAATTAAAAATATACAGGGTGTCCCATATAGAAAATCACATTTTCTGTTGATAATTCTTAAATTATTAATTTAAAAAAAATTATACTTAAACCATTAAATTCTACGTAAAAAGATGCTTTGGAAAGGTTTTCATAAAAATACAAAATTTTCCATAGCAAAAAAGTTACAGCAATTTGTTAAAAATGCATATTTTTGAAAAACACCCCGTAACTCCGAAACGGTAACAGATATGCGGTTTTCACCATCATGTTTTTGACAAAAATTGAGCTCCAGACACTGATATTAGTTTTCGTCTATCTCCTATAGAAAAGGGTGTTTCCATTTAAAAGCGTCGAATTTGACCCACCCTGTACAAAGCAACGAGTTGTAATTGGAAAATTCAATTTAAAAATATGTATCTATTGATTTCCTTTATCATGAATATTTTAATTTGAAATTTAATTCTCATTCTTTTTATTTTACAATTTTAGTAAACCACCTTTCACTTTTATTTTTACTATAAAATAGAATAATGAATGTAAAAGAATAAAGAAAAAATTACAAAATATTTTGTCAAGAAAGGAGAATCTTAACAAATATATTGGCAACTTACCGATCTAAGTCCTGTTTTTCATCACATAGTGTTTGCAGATTAAACACAACAGATTTAATCGAATGGAATGAGTTGGTCGAGTTTGTTTGAAAGGGGGTAAAGAAATCCCGTAAATCCATTTAATCCGCTTTTCCTTGTCGGTTACGATTCAATAGATGGTGAAACAAAATATTTAACTTAGGTATTATAAAATAAGAAATAAAGAAGCTTAAATATTTAGGTACTGAAACATTTGATGTTAATACAATTTATTTCTTCATTCACAACTAATACACCAACTCGGGATCTCTATATTAGACCTGTTTGGTGTTGAGATTTGAACAACGGTGTTGGGTGGTGATGACCACCGGTGTTTCAGTCGGTGTACCGGTATAAACACCGGTGTTCATTTCAGCGCCGGTGTTTATCTCGACACCGGTATCGCAATGAACACCAGTGTCAAGATCAACACCGGTGTCGGTGTCGATGGTACCGTCTGTTTAAGTTAACGTCGGTGCGCTTTAATATACGATAAAAATAAGCACCGATACGACATTATTATTATCAGGTTTATTTTGAACTTATTAATTAACATTATTTCTTCTTTAACCCGTTTACAAAACACCGGTGTCAATATCAAAACCGGTGTGGTAGTCAAAACCGGTATCGAGATGAACACTGGTGTCCAGACCAACACCGGTGTCGAGATGAACACCGGTGTTGTAGATGAACACCGGTATCGAAATGAACACCGGTGTCGGTATTAACACCGAAACACCGGATAGCCTATATTTGGCCACCGGTGTCAGCCCAACACCGGTGTTAAAACGGTGTTCCGGTGTTTGAAACAGGTCTAATCTCTACTACCAGAAATCAACAGAAGAATTCAGTTAGCATGGAGTAGGTATGGAAGAAACGCAATCATATTTAAATCTAGAATGCCACTCTATCTAAAGAAGAAAACATTCGACCAATGTGTACTTTTTTATTCGTGTCAAAAGCGTTCCATATAAAAATATATATATATATGTACAAAAATACTAATAAAAAAATATATACAAAGTGTATAAAGACAAACAGAAGAAAATTGCAAAGGTAAAATTGAAGACAGTTACAAACATAAAAATTGTAAAAAAAAACAACAGAAAAAAATGAACATTGTACAAATA